AGAGAGAGATTTAGGAGCACAGGTGATTGTGAACGCAATTTCACCTGCTTTGGTGCAAATGAAGGGACAGGTGCAATGGAGACAAAACAAGACAACCCCAAAATGGGAATTTTTGCATGTGGTGGGCCACAGACAATTGGTCTCTCCTTCCTGACTGATTCTACTCTAGTTTTGTGTTTTGCTAGTGTCCTTTGTCACTACTGGTAGCATGAGGTGGTACCTGCAGCCCAATCAGGTTCCACCAAGTGGCAAACTACCTTTGAAGCCTTGAGTTTTACCTTAATCAAAGATCCTCTATACAGAGATACCGCATTATAGGCGGGCGCCAATGGTATGAAATGGGACACAGTTCCAGTCTCCTAATGTGGCGCTGTCCCCAACCCCTCCATCAAGCAAAGGCAACTGGCATGAAATGTGACAGTAGCTAATATTAAAATCTATCCCTGATCTAGACTTACTTCTCTGCATCCTTTGGGAAAGAAAAGACAGATCCGTTTTTCTTGTTATTACAGCCTGTTGCTGCCACAAAAGCTCAGGCATTTTTAACACTAATTTATGGACTAATTGTTCCTGTCAAAAGAATACAACAATACATATACAACACGGATACAGTACAAATTTGTGCCTTTTTGCCGCTGTTTTTTATCTACTAACTACCTCTGATCAGCCCAGTAAAAAGTATGTCAGTTTCATAGGCTAATAATCTATTTTAGCAACTGTTAAGCAATGAAACAAGTTTTATTTAAGTTTTAAAGTTTAATCCATGGTTTTCACGTAAGTCAATCCAAAAAATAACTCTGGTCCATCTAAACTGGTTATCGGTTGGCAAATGATGTCGGCAGTTGACAGATTTGCGAGAGTATGGCACTGAGACAGAGGCAGGTCTCGAATAAAGTAAATTTTCTCCTGATCTGTTCATCTGAAAAAGTCATTCTGATGTCAGAATGTTCTGAAGACGTGTGGCTTGTGAAAATGGGTCCAATATTTATTTCGGTAACTATGGAGCGAAATAATCTGTCACAATCTGTGATCGCGTTCACTTCGCCCATTGAATTAATACAATCCTAAAGGGGCGGGGAGGTGGAGAAACCCATTGGACACAGATACAGGGATATAATCGGAAATGAAGTGTCTCCATTTTCTACTGTCTCTGGCTTAATGGACGTCACCATCTTGTTTTTTTGGAGCCAGAAGAAACCATATTTGGATGAGAGGGTGGAGCTGGGAGGAAGTGAGGGGTGAATCTGACCTGTGTCCTCGGAGGACACTAAGTACACGCACCTGCATTGGCAACCTGCAATATGCTCCTGGCTGAGCCGTGCAAAGATGCTGCTTACACGGGTTAGCTTTCACAATTCAAGGTAACTTTATAACCAACTGTTTAAATTAGTCTTAGAAGCTAACTGCATACATCCACATTTGGCAAATGTCATGTATGTGAGTAACTAGTAATGTTATTGTAGTTGAAGTTAGCATGTTTGCTAACGTAAAACTGTAAAAACAGTGTAAAACGTATACTAACCTTGTGTTTTAATTGGTTCTGCAGAACATGAACAGACTTCAGAACAGCTCTCCCTAAAACTGTGAGTCTGCAACATGTAAACTGTGTTACACACGAAGACTGATGATGAATAACGGCTCCTAGACTTTTTGCACCTTATCTCCATCACTTACAGTCAACCTGTGTTATGCAAACTTGTCTTGTGACAGTGAAGTTAACCTGTACCTTCATCCATAACTGTATTTTATTTTTGTCAGTTACAATTGCTTGTAAATTGCACACATTACTTAATTCATCCATTTATTACATATTGTTAATTCAGGTTATACACATTGCAGTTTGATATTTTTTGTTCAAAACTGTTGCACTAATAGAGATAACCACAGTCACTTTAGTTTGTATTTTTGCGTTTCAATAAGCTATTTAGTGTTTTGATAAATAAATCCTGTTTAAATGACTGTCAGTAATGTCTTTGATTGATATTTTACAACCCCAACCAAGAAAATGCTGGGACGATGTGAAAAATGTGATAAAAAAGGCACACACAGTAATTTATAAATTTCCCTTAACTTTTATTTCATGGCAGGGAGTATGAACACAAGATAAGTAATGTTTTTTTTTTTTGTCAACATCATTTGATTTGTAAATAAAACATCCATTTTTGCCATTCAGGCTTGCAACACGTTTAAAAAAATACTGGGACGGGGGCAGTTTATGGGTAGTAATGATGTATTCTTACTAAATAATGATGTGATTTGAAACAGGTGATGTCAACAGGTGATTGCAATCATGATTTGGTACAAAAAGCAGCTTCGAGGAAAGGCCTGGTCCTTTTGGAGCAAAGATGGCAAGAGGATCGCCAGTTTCCCAAAAAGTGAGGGCAAAAATCGTTGAACTGCTTAAGAAAAACGTTCCTCAAAGAAAGATGAGAAGATTTGGGTATTTCTTCCTCTACCATACATAACATAGTCAAAAGATTCAGGGAGTCCAGAGGAATTACCGTGCGCAAGGCCGAGGACGCAAGCCTAAACTGAATGGCCGTGATATCCACGACCCTCAGATGGCACTGCATTAAAAACCGTCATTCGTCAATAAGTGACATAACTGTATGGGCTCAGGACTACTTCAGGAAATCACTCTCAAGCACCACAGTACGTAGTTACATCAGGAAATGCCAGCTAAACTGTACTATGCGAAAAGGAAACCCTACATAAA